TCTCAATTATGGGGGGAGCATTTTATTCTTCAAAGTTTCAAAGCCTTAGTTGTGGGGAGCATTTTATTTTTCAAAAATTTCAAAGCCTCAATTGTAGGAAAGCATTTTATTTTCAGAAGTTTCAAAGTCTTAGTTGTGGAGGAGCATTTTATTTTTCAAAAGTTTCAAAGCTTCAATTATGGGGTAGCATTTTTCAAAAAAAAGTTTCAAACATTTGAGAAAAAGCTTTTGCAATTTTCTTTTTCGATTTTTCTTGAATCAAACAAAATAGATTTTTTTGTCTTTGTACAATTTTTGTTTCATAGAAAATGCACAAAGAGAGACAACTGTAGATACCTTATTTTGTTTGGAAATTTTTTTGAAATTTATTAGGTTTTGAATTTTAATTTTGATTATGCAATTGGGCCTTAATTGGAAAAGTGAATTTTAGGCCTAAAGATTAAACCTTAAATTTTATTTGTATTTTATTTTTTTAGTTTAATTTTTGGTTTAATTTTTGTTTTTTTAGTCAAAAGAGTCAAAGTCAATTGGTAAAAAAAATAAAAAGGGTAAAAATAAAAAATGGGATTTTGCATGAAAAATCTTAGATTTAATTCAACTCTTTAATTCTATCTTAAATTTTAACTTTAATGGTTGAATAATTTGGAAAGACTTGGAGCTCAATCTATTGAAAAAAAAAGAAGATTACATAGAGAATAAAATTTAGAGAGAATGCTAGATATAGTTAAATCAATTTCTTCCAAATCGAAAAGGATTCAATCCCTATATAATGACTTTGAATTTAAGATCAAAATGAGGGGGCCTAACAATAATTCAATTTATAATCAAACCGAAGTCATTGAAAAAAGAGAAAATTTGGTTAAAGTTTTGAATCAACAAGGAAGAATAAATCAAGAAAAAAAATTTGCAAGAAGATCCAATTGTAGTTTTTGGAAGAAATGTTAAGATTTACAGTAGGAAGCATCAGTTTTTGAAAGGTGAAAAATTGTTGAGACTTATTGAGGTAATGTTTTCTTTCATTTTTTTTTTAATTTTTGCATAACTTTTATAATATTTAATTGCTTACTTTTATTTTTATATTTATTACATGGTATTTATTTTTGCATGAATTTGCTTGACTAACAATATATTTGCAAGATAATTTATTTGCATAATATATTTGATTAATATATTTATTTGTGTGATTTATTAGTATATTTGCATGATTATTAATATATTTATTTGCATGATTATATATTTAATTGCATTTTTTTTGCATGATTTATATAGTATTATTTGCATGATTATACATTTAATTATATTTTTTGCATGATTATATATTTAATTGCTTGTTTTATATTGTTGACTGCATGATTATATTTTTAATTACATAGATAATATATTTAATTGTATGATGTAAATTATTAATTGCATGATTATATATTTATTTGCATGTTTTAATTGTTAATTGCATGATTAGAGATTTAATTGTATGTTTTATATTGTTAATTGCGCAATTATATATTTGATTACATGTCTATTTGTATGATTATTAATTTATTTGTATGATTGTATGATTATTAATACATTTATTTGCATGATTATTTATTTATTTTTTATTATTATTGCATGATGTGATATTGTATGATTAATATTATATTTGAATGATATTTGATTGCATGTTTCTATATTGATTATGTGCATAATTGCATGATTATATTTAATTACTAATATATTGTATGATTATATTTGATTTGCATGATATTATATATTTATATGATTATTATTATTGCATGATAATTAATATATCTGCATGATACTCTTACATGAATATTTTAGCATGATCTAAGTATAATATTATTACATGATATTTTGTATGACTTATTATATATTTGCATGATGATTTTTACATGATAATTATTGCATAGTATGATTTTTTTAATATTTATTGTATGATTATTTGATATATTGATAGAATTTTGTGTATCACCATGAAATGATTTTGATTTGCATAATAAAAATTATTTTTAATTAAGGCTTAGGTAAGATAACAGATAATTAATGTGGTACCAATTTTTGGTGTAAAGAGGTACTAATACCTCCTTACATATAACTGACTCCCGAACCTTAGTTTTAATGATGTAGACCATAACCTATTATTTTTAAGGATCCTTAGATTATACTTAAGATAATCTTAAAATGGATAGTTCATATAAGTGGCCAATCATATCTGATAAAAAAATTAGTGGCAACTCTATGATTGTTATGTCTAATAGGTAGGTTTTTCAATCTAGACGTAATGACAATAAGATTGATATTTGAGCCCAATATAAATTTAAAAAATATATAAAAATATAAAACTATTGGATCAAAATTTATTTTTATTTTAGTATATAATCTAATTTGTTATATACTATTAACTTTCTTGTTAATTAATTTTTAATCATAGGTTAATAGAAGTATGCACTATAGTATTTAATTTTAAAGACATTATTTATAAACTTGTTTATGTTAATACTTTGTATTTTGTAATATTTAATTTCATTAGGTAAGTGTTCATGCGTTGCCATGGTCAAAATTTTTTTTGCCATTTAAATTCATCGATTTTTTTTTTTTTGTAGAAACATTGACCTAACATTAAAAAAAAAACGCAAAAAGGTAAAATGTACAAAAAAAAACTAAATGAAAGTGATAAATCGATCTTTTATCTCAAATTAATTTAATATTAATTTTTTATAAAAATGCCCATATCAAATTAAGAAGGATAAAAGCTTATTTGATATTGATTGTTTAGTTATATTTATCAATTGACGTATTTGTTGTAAAATTAATTTAATTAAAAATATTAAAAAATAAAAGAAAATAAACAAATGGGGATGCTATGTGCATACCTCAATTAACATTATTTTCTTACAAAAATTATATAAAATTAAATAGAAAATAAAATATATACTTGTATAAATACCATGGAATGGCTTTGAGTAAATCATCTTAAATTCAATTTTGACTTGTTCCCGCTGTTTACTACAAAATAGACTTGATTTGATTCGATAATGATTTTTACAAAAACATGCATATCGAATCAAGATTAATCAAAACCTATCGAATATTGATTTGTTTATCAAACAAAAACATTATGGATTAATTTTTTGTTTTGTCATTTCCATTCATTATTTATTTTTTAAAACATATCTAATTAAAAAATAAAAAATAAAAAAAAATCTACGTAGGGATGACATGAGAATATCTAAATTGACCTCTTATTATCACAAAATATATTTAATTTAAAAATAAAAATCTCAAACAAAATAAATTGTAAAAAGTAAAAAAAAAAATTGAAAAAAATAAAAAATAAAAAATGAAACAAAAAAGTTCGTAAAATGTGCATATGAATATCCTTATTGAGTTTTAAAATATTAATTTATTCAATTAAAGTATTAAATAATAATTTTATTAATATAATACATGTATATATATATAATTAAATTAATAATAAATCATATTTTTTTATATATACCCTAAAATGAATTAGGACAAAATAACTTAAACATGCTTTCGTCTCAATTCCATATATCATAAAAAAACTCAAATCATTCTAATTCAATCCCAATTAAAAAAAAAAATCATCTTCTTCAAATTATGATAAATTGAAATCCATTAATACATATTATTTTGGTATCTTTATTAATCGATACATTCATTACAAAATTTATTTAATTAAAAGTATAAAAAAGGTGAAAAAGAAAAAAAGATAATTGAATACTATGCAAACATTTATATTGTCCTAATTTTTATAGCAAAATTAATTTAATAAAAAACCATAAAAAATGAGAAAAAAAAAAGAAAAGAGTTTATAAGAGTATTATATCAGACATCCAATTGAATTTAAAATATTAATTTTTAAATTAAGATATTAAATAATAATTTAAATTAATTAAAAATTTTAATAATAAAAAAAATAAAAAAGAAAATGAGTCATGTGTACGCAGTCATTTGCTTTTTGTTTAAAAATCATCTTATTAAAAAAAAGGACAAAGAAAACTGAAAACCCAAAAAAAAAAAAAGGTTGAGTTATATAAAAAAAATCAAATCTGGAAGTAGCATCAACACATCTGTTGACAAGTCAACAACTTATCAAACGGCATACTCTTAATATTACGTGGGACTAAAAACTAAAATATAAAAAATTATTTATTACATATCTAAAAATAAAAAAGGAAAAACACTTGACATACCACCATTATTAAGTGGATTAAAAAATAAAATCTAAAAATATTTTGATTAAATAATTTTTATAAGGGTAAAATAGGAAAAGCAAAAAAATTGATATAAGTGAGCCCATACATAAAAAACAAAATTTTTAAAAATATATTTTTATAATTTAAAAAATATAATTAAATATTTTTAAAAATAAAAAAATTAAAATGGTTTAAAAGATCAAATAAATTTTGTTATATGTGGTCCCACAAATAAAAAATAAATTTTTTAAAATATATATTTTTATAATTTAAAAAAGATATTTGTTAAATATTTTTTAAAAAAGAAAAATTTTTAAAATGTAGAAAAAGAAAAAAAAAGTTTGCTTTAAGTGAATTCCATATTTTAAAAAATATTTAAAAAATATTTTATTATTCTAAAAAATTAAAGAAAAATTTTATTAGATATTGAAAAAAAATTAAAAAAAAGGTAAAAAAGAAAATAAAAACAAGATGTTTAAAATAATATAATTTTATAACTTAAAAAATATTTTACAAAGAAAAAGTTAAAAATGTAAAACAAAAAAAATTAAGTGGATCTCGTTTATAAAAATATTTAAAAATATATTTTTATAGTTTTAAAAATATTTATTAAACTTATTTTTTAAATTAAAAAAATTACACAGGAAAGAAAAAAAAAAAAAAAAATTGATACAATCAAACCCCATGGACAAAAAATATATATATATATATATAATTTTTATAATTTAAAAAAATTTATTAAAAGAGCCAGTCATTAGGACCGTACATTAATTAAATTAAATAAATGTATAAGTTTAGAGCCAATCTGGATTACTGGGTAGATCCAACGAGAAGAGTACTTTCTGGCAAAGTCAACTCAGAAAACAGGCAAAGAGAAACATGTCCCAAGAAGATCAAGACCAAGAAATTGGTAAGCTCGCCATCCGGCTAAGCAACGCCGTGATTTTACCCATGGTGTTAAAATCAGCCCTGGAGTTAAACATCATTGACACAATCTCAGCCGCTGGTGACGGCACGTTTCTATCACCTCGCCAGATCGCGAGTGGCCTTCCCACCAAGAATCCTGATGCACCAGTGCTACTAGATCGAATGCTACGCCTGTTGGCTAGCTATTCCATTCTTAAATGCTCTGTAAGAACAAATGAAAGTGGAGAAGTTGAAAGACTGTACAGTGCAGGCCCCCTTTGTAAGTTCCTCGTTAAGAATCAAGATGGAGGGTCGGTTGCTCCCCTGCTTTTGTTGCATCAGGATAAAGTCTTCATGCAAAGCTGGTACTTTTGCCATTAAAACTTACCTATTTTTCTCTAAACAAAATTTTAGTTATTTGTATATATCGAAGTTTATTTTGTTTGATTTCAGGTACCATTTAAATGATGTTATACTAGAAGGCGGGGTTCCTTTTGAAAGGGTATATGGAATGACAGCATTTGAGTATCCAGGAACTGATCAAAGGTTCAACAGGGTGTTTAACCAGGCAATGTCAAATCACACTACTTTGATCATGAAGAAGGTTCTTGATGTTTACAAAGGGTTTGATGGGGTGGAAGTGTTGGTTGATGTGGCTGGTGGAATTGGAGTTGCTCTAAGTATTGTTACTTCTAAGTATCCTCATATCAAGGCCATCAATTTTGATCTGCCTCATGTTTTGGCTGATGCACCAACTTATCCAGGTCCTATATCGCTTCCTTTTACTCTGATGAATTGATTTCCGAGAAATCTCTATAAAATGATTGGATATTTGGTAATCCAATCTGATCTGAATCTGATGCCCCTACATATCTCTTGACTGACTAATTTAAAGCATTGCCGTAGCTCGCACATAATTTTCAATAGTTCTGTTTTCTCTGCACATGCCCAACACTAAGCAATTGGAACTACAGTAAAACTATAGAACAATGCCATTTTCTTTCCAATTCATCTAATCATATATAATCTGTTGTATTGATGGGTGTAAAATGTTAAGTCATGACATGAGAGAATATGGCTTCAAGGTGAGCTGCAAATGTCACTTTCCTCTAGACTTATTTTGCCCACACCATTTATGGTGTGCTATGGGGTGAATCAAATAGTCATAGGATACAATGAAGCCCTTGTTTTACTTCACTTTGCATTAATGAAATCAAACCACTAAACACTTCCTAATGTGCAGCAAAATCATCTTTCTTGTACTTTATTTTCTGTTGTGAATATGTATAAGAGACTTAGTCTATTTCATATAAAGTGAGGAAAATTTCTAGAGTGAATAAATTTTTTTCATTAACTGTTGGAATGATTCTTACTTCTCATTTATCGAGAACTTAATCAAGAGTTATAACTTGTCAATTGTGTTGATTTGTCTAATCAGTTTGTCTATTCATTGAGTTCACATCTTTTGGAACTTGATAGGTGCCATTGACAACCATTTACAACTGAAATAATACCTTTTGAAACAAAACTAGCCATTGTTGTCCAATAGATGCAATTTACACTAGTTTAATTTATTTCTTAATATTTCTTTCGTTGACAGTTATAAGTAAACGAATTCATGTCTTATTGCTTTCTGCAAAGCTTATTTTTGTAGGTGTAGAGCATGTTGGAGGAGATATGTTTGAAAGTGTTCCAAAAGGAGACGCCATTTTCATGAAGGTAAGCCTTTATTTCACATAGCGTAGTAAATGGAGCATTTTATTTAATTTACTTAGCTATTTTAGTTGTAATTCCAATCATGATTGATAAATTTAGAAAGTTGAAATAGCGAAGCTAACTGGCTAGCTAAGTCTAGGGAAATGGGCTTAATTACATTCCAGGGCAGATTTGTTTCCATGTATTTGTTCTATTTTCTGAACTCCCCATGAATATAACTTGAGGAAATCTACAAGTCCAACTGAATGCCTATCATCAGTTCTTCTTCAAAAGATTTGTTGTTGGGTGTTGCCAAGCTGGTTTGTTGATGAAACTTGCAGTGGATACTCCATGATTGGAGTGATGAGCATTGCTTGAAGCTTCTCAAGAACTGTTGGGAAGCTCTCCCTAATGGTGGCAAAGTAATCATTGTGGAATCAATCCTCCCTGAGGTTCCTGATAGCAGTGTTCCTACCAACATTGTCTACGAGCAAGATCTATTTATGTTAGCTCAAAACCCTGGGGGCAAAGAGAGAACCCGAAAAGAATATGAAGCCTTGGCTTTAAGGACCGGTTTCTCTGGCTGTGAAGTCATCTGTTGTGCTTATAACAGCTGGGTCATGGAGTTCCCCAAAGGAGACAATTGTTGATGTCCTGTTCAAAACTTCAAACTCTGGTTTTTCACAATGTGTTGTTCTATTGCTAAATGTATTTGACTCTAATGATCACGGTAATCTTTAAAATATATATGGTTCATTCTGAACGGAATAATTTCTTCTATCCCTCCAAGAACATTAAGAGTCATGGCGGTGTTTATTGTATAATGATTGACAATATTCCTTCCTTCTTGAAGGTGGATTTTCCTAGCTAAGGTGCACTTGGTGGACCAACAGACTATTTCAAAAACGTTACTCAGAATCTGCAAAACAAATACATCAATTATAATCCGTTTGATTTCATGCCAGGGATCATACTAAGCGGTTGCCTTTGATTGCAATCCGTAATTTCATAATAAATACATCTATGTATCTATGATCATGGGATTATAATTTGTTTTGAATTCATGCCATGGATCATAGATTGATAATGCAGGGATCAGCATGCCCCTTTTTGATCGTTTCTGGTATTTATTCATGTTATGCCATAATTTATCGTAATGTGATTCGTAGTGTTTGCAAATAGTCGGAGACGTTGTTCCGGAGTGCTGTGATTGGCGTGATTTATGGTCCATACACAAAAGTTATGATTGTAATCGGAACAGAAGTTATTAGCTAGAAGATAAATTCAGATATACAATGTTGAAAACCTGTTTAATGCTGGAAACCAGCAAAATGTTTGGAAGAAGGGGGCTGGGGAGATTACTAGAGTTACCCGACTTGTCTGGTATCTATATCATATGCAAAAGCTATTACAAAGATAAAATTTGTCTTACAATATCATCTGCAAAGAAGTTCAACAAATTATTATTAGGTTGCTCCGAAGTGCTGTGATTGCCGTGATTTATGATCTATACCAGGGATTTAAATAACGATTGTGGTTACGTTTTCAATCGCGTCACGTTTATCGTATTTTCGGACATAACAAAAATTATTACGATTATCGCAATCATCACGGTCGTGAATTTTTTTTAATTTTGTACAATTTGTTATAAAATATAATAATTATAATTATAATTATAAAAATTTTTATTTAATTTTTTTAAAACAATTTATGACATCTATGTTTTTTATTTTTTAAATTCATATTTTTTTTAGATTATAATAAAATATTTATATTTAGTTTAGCAATAAAATTTTTACTTGAGCCAAATTCATATTCAAAATTAATTATAGACAAATCAAAATATTAACTAAATATAATACATTAAATACCAGTATCCATATTTAATAAAATTATAACTTAAAAATAAATAATTTTAAATTCCCTCAATTATAGTTATAAATTAACAAAAATTAATCTAATAACAAAAAAATTGACAACAATATAAATACCAAATAACAAAAAAATTGTTAAATTTCAAATATAAAATCATAAATTAATAAATAATAAAATCAAATTATAATATTTAATTTTAATTATTTTTTTTAACTTATACAAAAAAATTTATTAAAAATTTTCATCTAAAATCTATATCTATATATATATATAATTTCAAAAATTACAAATTTTTAAACTTATGTTTTAATAAAATTAAATAAATAAAAACCTACCCACCCACCCCACGCTTCCCCCTCAGACACCCTCTCCCCAAAATTTCTCCCAAACTTTGATAACCAGAAAGACAAGCCAGAAATCTTCATCCATCTCTTTTTCGTATTTTCCTCTTCTCTCTCTTTTTTCTCCCTGCATATGTCTCACTCTCTCGCGTACCATCATTAATATCATTGCCTACTGAGTATCTTAATGTCATCTCTCTCATATTATCACAAAAATCAATAATATTTTAAAAATTTTGCAAAAAAAAAGAGATAATTTAACTTTTTCTTATCTTCTTTAATTTTGATTGTTAATTTAAGACTTAAAACTGATTTAAATTTGAGTAACTTGTAGATTGAATTAGAATTATTGTTGATTGAAGTTTTTTTTCATTTAATTTGAACCAGTAATTAAGAAAACGGAAATAGCGATAATAACGATCCATTATTGCTGCTATTTTTCGTTACACTATTATTTAGTGGCCATTACACACCGTTTTTAGAGTGATTCAATTTTTCAGCCACATTTTTCCTAATAGCGGTGGCAGGCGGTGACAGACGGTAGCACTATTACAATTTTGCGGCCACTATTCCGTTATACAACTGCTATTTGAAACCTTAATCTATACACAAAAGTTATGATTGTAATCGGAACAGAAGTTATTAGCTATAAGAAAATTTCAGATATACAATGTTGAAAACCTGTTTAATACTGAAAACCAGCAAAATGTTTGGAAGAAGGGGGCTGGGAAGATTACTAGAGTTACCCAAATTGTCTGGTATATATCATACGCAAAAGCTATTTCAAAGATAAAAATTGTCTTACAATATCATCTGCAAAGAAGTACAACAAATTATTATTAGGCTTAAAGTAGAGTATCTGCACCGATAGTAGATGAGATGCCATCGATATCCACCACCACGATAACTAACAGCTGAAGCTATTTAGATATTAGATTTGAGGTCCTCTGAGTGCAATAGATTCTTCCAAGACGGGTTTCTTGGAAGAAAAGTGTCCTAAAAACGAGAAACAAACATATGAACTAAATTCTGTAGTAAAAACTTCTAAAGGCAAGCTAAGCACCAGAAGTATGAGAATTCAAACAATTCAAATGAATTTTTCCCCAGTATAATGGTCGCAAACTAATGCAGTGCAATTTAGTAAAGAATCAGCATGAAGATGTCAGGGTTATCCAAAGGCATAATTACCCCAGGAATCAGACAATGCGAATTTCACACTCTTTCTTTTCTCACATTTCCTTATGATGAAAGGAATATTCATATCCCTACATACAAACAGATGCTCTTTACAGCAGGAAGATGATCTCATTTAACAACTTACAAAAAATGATACCTATAATTACTATCTGTCAATAGGAACTCTTCAAGAAGACTAGTTTCAATTTTCAAATCTCCAAAACCAATTATTGCCGATGGAATTAAGGAACTGCATCAGCTAGCTAAATAAGCACAAAAAACATTGACAGAAGCTTGAACAATATTTTTTTCAGACACTGAGGAGCTCATAATTCTAAATGCATATATCATATGTAGGGTATGGTCTAGAAGGAGAAAGAAAATATAAGACTTTAGGATCTGCCTTTCTGACGTAGCACTATCTGGGATTTCACTCCTAGTTTAACTCCAGAACTACAGCTGATGTTTTCTAAACTTACCGTCATGAACCATACCATTTGTCGAAGTAAACCTATCTTGATTCTGTAGTCAAATCACGGATACAATCATCACAATTCATTCATATAAACAATTTAGTCACTTGATCTAAGAAAGAAAGGACCATTTCATACATCATATTGTTTTAAGTATGAAGAGGGTCATGAACTCATGATCCAGCAAGAAGGGAGAGAAGTTCTTGTTATACAAAACCTGCTCGCCCAAATTCCAACTTCAAATAACTATCTCATTCGATCCGAAGACAAACGTAGGTATATAAATGCTATGACAAAAGCTGATCATCGATAGGGACGTGGAAAAAGAATAGGTTAAGGTTAACAAGCAAGAGGTAGCTAGATAATGATGTTTAAAGCCTATAGTCAAAACTGGATAATATAAATGTGGAGGTGTAAAATAAAAGAGTACTGGGAAGGGTGAATGTTTTGTATCACTCGGTATAAAACAAGAAAAGGAAACCAGATTCCTCATATTAAAGATGGAAAATTTTCCTTCTAAAACCACTATTCCTTTAATAGTCGAGGGGGTTACCATTCACCAAGCCTAGTTCTGGATAAATACAGTAGCAGCACTACTAACAAAATTTAGGCTATGAAAACCCGAATTTAGCTCAATTAATTCTTAATATCCAACAGGTTTAATGTTTGAATCTTACTACTTGCAGCCTATTCCCCTTGTCTTAGGCCTTAGCCTAGGCTATAGCCTGCCTCGTATTAAAAAAAAAAAAAGGTTCAGCAAAATTTATGGGTTCCTAAATCGTACAAAAGCTCCAGGCTAAAATCTTTCGCAAGCCTTAAACAATAATTCATCAGATTTTGATAAACAGAACAAAGGTACAGAAACCCAGAAACCAATTCAAAAATCAACCAAAACCAAAATAAAACAATGTTAGAAATGAGAGAGAAAGAGAGAGAGGACTAACGGAGACATAAGAGCAAGAGGGGATAATGGACAAAGAGTGGGACTTGGCATGATTGAAGGCAGCAATACAGAGATGAGAAGCCAAGCCCATGCCTCGCTTCGAAGATGGGACAAAAGTGTGGATGATATCCATCACTTTGCCATCTTGTCTTAACACGTACTCTATGTAGGCTTTCCTGTCCTCCATCTCGAACCTCCTTTGGGTCTCGTTCCACACTATCTTTTGTGCCTCTGGCGAGCTTGCCGCTGCACTGCTTGTCGCCATCTCTCTCTTTCTCTAGCTATATTTTGATTCGTTGTCCCTGTGGTCGTTCGATCTTTTATCCAATGCTCTAATTAGAAGGAGTGGGGGAACTGCTTAAATTTTTTGACAGGTCATTGAAGTAACACTAAGATATAAAGAATTAATATAAATTATTATTTCAAATAATTAATAATTCTAAACAAAAAATAAGTATTAATATTAAAAAAAATCAGTGAAAGTAATCATAAAATTAATGTCATTTGATGTAAAACAATTAGATGTGTCATAATGCTTTTAAAAAAAAAATTATAATATTTCTAAACATAATTAAAGATAACATCAAGCTTAAAAAGATATTATTAGAATATAAATAATTAAACTAATAATATAAAATAATTTTAAATAAAAAGTTAAAAGTTAATGTAAAATGGTAAAAATAATCATAAAATTAATATTATTAACGTAAAATAATTATAAGTATCGTTACACGTTAAAAAAAGTTATAATAATTTTAAATGTAATAAAAAGTAATTATAAACATAAAAAGATATTATTGAAACATAATAAATTTGTAACATAAAAAAATTAGTGTATAAATAAAAAATAATTCAATAAAAAATAAGTGTTAATATAAAAATATAAGAATAATCGTAAAATAGTATCATTTGATGTAAAATATATTAGGAGTATCGTAATACCTTAAAAAAACTTTTAATAATTTTAAACATAATAAAATATAAGAATAAACGTACAAGATTTTATTGTAATATAAATATAAGTTGACAACATGCAAAAATTATTATTATTATAAATAAAAAATAATTCTAAACGAAAAATATGTGTTTACATAAAATGATAAAAATAATTGAAATTTTGAAATTATTTGGGGTTAAATATATTATAATGTTGTAACGTAAAATGATAAAAATAGTTGTATATTTGGTGTCATTTGACATATATTAGATTAAAAGTGTCATAAAATCTTAACAAAATTTTGTGATAATTCTAAACGTAATAAAAAATAGGAACAAATATAAAAAATATTATTATAATATAAATAATATTTTTAGCAACATAAAACAATTATTATTACAAATAAATAATATTTCTAAATCAAAAAATAAGTGTTAATATAAAAAAAGTGAGAGTAATCGTAAAATTGATATCATTTAGTGTTAAATGATTAGAAGTATCGTAACACTTTTAAGAAAAAGTTATGATAAACCTAAACGTAATGAAAAATAATAACAAGTATAAAAAATATTATTATAACATCAATAATTAAGTTAATAATGTAAAAAAATTATTATTATAAATAAAAAATAATTTTAAACAAAAAATAAGAGTTAACATAAACTATTGAGAATAATCGTAACATCGGTATTATTTTAAGTAAAATGATTAGAAGCATTGTTACACCTTAACAAAAAAATTGTAATAATTTTAAACGTACAAATATAAAAAAAATATTATTGAAATGTAATAAATTAGTAACATAAAAAAATTAATATTATAAATAAAAATAATTTTAAATCAAAAAATAAGTGTTAAAGTAAAAAGATAAAAATAATCATAAAATTAATATAATTTGAGATATAATATGTTTGAAGTGTTGTAATACTTAAGAAAAGTTATGATAATTCTAAATATAATGAAATGTAATAACAAGCTTAACAGATTTTATTGTAACATAAATAATTAAATTAATAATATAAAAAATTATTATTATAAATAAAAAATAATTCTAAATCTAAAAATAATTGTTAATATAAAAATATGATAATAATCATAAAATTAATATAATTTAACGTAAAATATATTAAAAGTATCATAACATAAAAATGTGAGAATAGTCATAAAATTAGTATCATTTTGTGTAAAATATGTTAGAACTATCGTAACACCCTAAAGAATAATTGTAATAATTCTAAAAGTAATAAAATATAATAATAAACGTAAAAAAAATTATTTTAACGTAAATAATTATGTTGACAACATAAAATATTATTATATATAAAAATAATTCAATAAAAATAAATGTTTACAAAAAAATATGAGAATAATCGTAAAATTTGTATCTTTTGACATAAAGTGTATTAGAAATGTTATAACAATTTAAGAAAAAAGTTGTAATAATTCTAAACGTAATAAAAAATAAGAATCAGTGTAAAAACATATTATTATAACATAAATAATTAAATTGGTAATATAAAAAATTATTATTATAAATAAAAAATAATTTTAAATCAAAAAATAAGTGTTAATATAAAAAAAATAATCATAAAAATTGATATAATTTAACACCATAATATTTTAAAAAAGAGTTATGATAATTTTAAATGAAATAAAAAGTAGGAATGAGAAGATAGGAATAATTCACTTTCCTTTTATTTGAAAGAGTTTTTATTTTATTTTTTGAATGAGAAAATGGGGAAAAAGGAAGCAGCACTTGATAAGTGAAAGTTGGTGCTGGCTTTGTTTGTGTCATGCTAATGCAAGAATGGAGAAAGGAAATTTTGGATCTATCCATTATTATTTGATGTGACAGGAAAGAAACTTTTCACATTGAGTCCGTACGCTGATATACATATAGTTGTGCTCGTATTTTGTCAAGAAAGAGGAAATCATGTTAACTTACTTCGAAATGGAGTAATCATGATTGTTTACATTGTCAGAGGTAATGTTGTATTAGTGCCTTTGATCTCTTGAACTTTTCGATGGCTTTCTCAACTTGCTTTCTCATCTGTAAAAGAACAATGGACCTTGAATTACTTTCTCAACACGCTTTTATGCGTATTACTATTAGTTTGTTAAGCAGTTCTAAGAAAATGCCCCATACACTTATTTGTTTGCTTGGTACTGCAGCTTATGATAGACCGCTGCGAACATGTGATGACTTTGTTTGGCCTGTTGATTCTATATTCCATGGGCGCTTCATTATTGATGTTGAGTCTGGACCTGAGGATCTGCCCTATAAATGTGAGCGACTTTGGGTTATCATTTTAATGTGGTATAATGGCAATGTCAATAAATGTCTTATACTTCTTACTCTCCCACTTTTTCCCCTTTTTGGTAAGGCTTGTTAGTATATATTTGAAGAGCCACATCACATCTCCAAAGAGAAGGTACCTAGTCAGAAAATTAAAAGAATAGGGTTCTTGACGAATCTTCTTATACTTGTTTCCTTCTTTCTCCCACTCTCTCACTCTTTTGTTATATGCCAATCTCTCTGAAGTGAGCCCTTATTATACGTCAACAGATTCCTTGTTTCTTTATACCCAGGGTGGTGAATCCATTTCCTGATTTCCATATGGCCTATTGATGGAGCAATGCAATCTGTGTCAAGTCAAAGCACCCTGCGCTGCCTAGCTCGCATGCTTGATGAGGGTATTCATTCAGATGTTACTATCAAGACTGCTGATGGTACTCTAAGAGCTCACAAGGCAGTTCTATCTGCAAGTTCACCCGTTTTCTATAGCATGTTACATCACAACCTTATGGAAAAGGCATCATCCACAATCCTTATAGAGGACATGTCACTGGAATCCTGCATGGCCCTTCTAAGTTACTTGTATGGAACGATAAAGCAATAGGATTTTTGGACGCATCGACCGGCATTACCGGAGTGACAAACAAATAAATATGACATTACAGATCTAAAGATGCCTGTGAGGAAAGCCTCTTAGAAGACTAACTCACAGAATGTCCTCGAGAGGTTGCAGAAAGCTTGGCTTTACCAATTGAACAAGCTGAAGAAAGGGTGCATGATGTACTTGTTCGATTTTGGCAAGATATATGATGTTGAGATGAAATCAATACTGGTATGATTTTCCTTGGTATTTATACCTTTCATTTGCTGCTAAGCAGATACATGGGACTCCTCACTGTATAGTTTGTTGTATATTTACTCGATGAAATCCATATTTTGTTTTGTCTTTTTTTTCCTCTTGTAATATGCATATAGGCCTGCTAATGTATTTTTAGATGCCAGGAATCAATGGCTTGAGGTGTGTGTAGCTTCGTATAGTAACTGCGGTAAAAACTTCACTTGTACTTGAGGAATGTAAGCTTGGGTTGTTAAAAGTATCTTTTCTGAACTTTTTTTATGCAGTTTAAAAATGTATGATTACTTCATATTTGAGTTGTCTTCGTTTTCTATAAATGATAATTAAGTAGTTTCTTATGATTATCTTTTTTTTTAGATTATTGATGAATACAACCGCATTAAAATTGGCCTAGATAGTGACCTGGAAATTGAAACATTCAGTTATGTACATGCATAACATCAAACGTCTCAAGAAATAAATAAGATTTATCAATCTTACTTCGAATAAAACAAAATGTTTTGGGCATATAAACGTGAGCATTGCATAACTAACAAGTCGATTTTAGGAAGATAAGTAATAGCTTGGTGACATACCTATTTGATTAACAAATCCTTTCATTTATGGATCCCACAAACTTCTTATGGATCCCGATCCTCCATGCTGTCTAAGTAGTTCTTTTTCTTGTTTAACAGGTTTATTTTCATGTCCCATTGACGCAAATACGGAAATGGCCATAAGCACCCAGCCTTTAGCCATCATTTGTACAAAAAATTTGCCTTATTAGAATTTATTTGAACAGAATTTTTAAGATAAAAGAAATTACGCACAAATTAATGAATTTATTAGATCTTTATTAAAATAAAAAATTAAATATTTAAATGAAAAATTGAAATTTATATCCATGATCTTACCTATAAAGTACAATGTATGCAAAAATTGTTTGTGATGAATACATAAATACATCTAATCTTTACTAATTTTAATATAATTTCTATATTTATCATCACAATTGTTAATTAAAAAGAAAATAAAAACAAAATAATAAAAAATAGTAAATCCAATGATTGTACCTCTATCAAAGATAGAATGAAGACAATCGAGCATGATAATTTGAAATACCAATAAACAAATTATATGAAAGAAATAAAAATGATAATTTAAAATTTTAATAAAAATTAAAATAATATATTTCATATTTAATACGATAAATATTACTTTTATACATACATGTATATTTTTATATTTATTTTACAACTATTTTATATGTATTTCACATAAATAAATGATC